GTGACATATACAGACGAAAGGACAAGGTCTTAACTACATGTGTGGACAATGAATAGCACCGAAATATCGTAACACACGAATTTATTACGGTAGTATACAGGGCAATATGGCCTTCACCGTGCAAAAGAATGATAACATAATGCACATAAAGTTGATATGACAAACATGGGCCTAAAGACCCTCAATTTAGTCTCCTGCTACTGTCACCACACGCTGCCAACGATGTGGGAGGTGCTGAATACCATCATCCTTAGCATTTGCCCCACCATGTGTGAATCGGGTCCTGTTGGCGCACAGCATTAGCAATGTCCTCTTGTGTTGCAAACCGCCTACCACGTATGAGATCAAAGTCACAGGGCGAAAGGGCAGGAGAGTACGGTGGGTGCTCCAATTCTTCCCATCCACAACGTCGGAGTAGCTGGAAAGCCTCGAGGGCTATCTGCCTAAGGGGAGGGATGCCTTCGTGGAGGACTTTCTAAGGGAAACTGGCTCGTATACACGTTACACATGGGGAAAACCACGAAAACGCCCACGAGGCCAGCCCGTTCGCCGGATTCGAACCTCGGACCGAACTACCAGTATTCAACGACTTTATTGCTCGGCCGCTGGTGGGCTGAAAATCAAGAACAACACACATTACGATTACAAGATCTACGTCGTAGACATGCACTACCAATAGCAAACGAAACTCAAGAACAACGCCAAGCTCGCCAATAAAGACAACGTATTCAGCATTCGGAAGCACAAATCCTTGCATTCGATCTTTTTACATTCATTTTACATTTTCGATCTTACATTCGAAATTTTTGCTTTGTTGACCTAAGTAGGAAATGACTTTTAAAAAAAATTATATATTACTTGTTATACAATATTTTGAATCTGAAAAATGAACAAGGTATAATGCTATAAAGCACACTTTACGAAACAGTTCTTAGCAAAATTAGCTACATACTTAATTAAAAATGCCTTTTAAATTTTTTGCATGCAATTGTCTCCGAATATTCAGAATTCTCACAATATGCATCAGTTCTCTCTATAAAATTAATTCTAAACGTTTTCCATCTGATTTTTTATTCAAAATATTTCTGGCTTTTTGCTGTTACAGAATTGGTAGGGGTAATTTCTCTTTAGAATTTTAGATACTACAGCTTAAAAAGTTTAGAAGGATTTGAAGGCAAGATTTATAGATCCACGATTCTAGAAGATTCCAGAAAAATATGACGAAATGAAAAATGTTTCCATGGTAATAACACGTAATGGATGTATTTTACAGAAAAATTTCTTACTTTTTGAGAACGTCTGGAAGAACATTGAAAACATAATATTTTACTTCTGATACTACAATCATTTTCTTAACATATTTATCTTCCCTTTATTTTCTCTACTTTTCACTAGACATAAGCATGGAAAACATCAAAAATGCTTTTAATCTCATCACATGAACAGGCATTACAGAAAGGAATTTTTCTATTAATAAAGAAATTGAATACTGACAATTTAAAAGATTCATCTTATATGTCTTAATGCATCATACACAGGGCTGGCACTAGGCATTTCCCACCTGTTACTATCGCTGTGGATTCTAAATTCGGCTGCCTAGTACTCTTCGAAATTCTGCTTCCAGTGTCTGCTCTAAATTCTAAAAATGTTCTGTTTCTGGATTTTGTTGCTCGGTGTGACACTAAATTCTAGAAATTCTGCCACACAAGCTCTGTAACCGGCCCTTACCATATATATTTCGTATTTCTTCTGAATGTTCATATTACTAAAGAAATAAAGATAGCAGCTTGTTCTATACAACCTAAATACATTTAGTTCTTTTAGAAGAACAGAAATCTTTAAGTAAATTCCTAAAGCTTTAAAATGAAAAGGAAACGTCTTGAAGAATGAAATTGAATACATAAAGAGACAGAAAATTATTCTTCAAAGATATGTATGTACACTGCGAAAAAAAAAAAAAAAAAATGGGAGACAGTTCTATTCCTCTCTTTCTACTGGGCCGATTGACGAAATTCCAACTTGCGTTTTTTTACGTCTCGAAAGCGTGACTTAGGATATGTATTAGATTTATATATAGCATAGTTCTAATACAGGTACATTGACAAAAATCGGACTTTTTTTGAAATAGTATACAATTTGTTTTTCCATATTTCTATTCTAAAACTCAAATTATGCCAAAGTACCAAATTTTGTAAAAATCGCACGAGTAGTTTTTAAAAAATTAGCTCTCAAAATTTTCGCTCCTCAGTGTTAATTGAGTTTAGTACATATTTATTAATTTTTCTTATTTTATTAAACTTATTTATTCTTCCTTTCACGTTTCGAAATTCAGATTCATTCCAAATAAAATTCACCCATTTTTTATGATTTTTTGTTTTTTAAATTTGTATTTTAAAATAATTTTTATAAATTTTCCCCCCAAAAATTTGTGTTATAATCTGTAAAATGTTTACCATCATCTTAAATTAGACTTCTTTCTAAGCATACCTGCAAAAAATTACGGTTTTTTTATTCAAAATTTCCGAGGATATACGTGAATTTATATATTGGCGCATTTTGAAATTTGGCCTATTTGTTGAAAGCGATGAAACATCAAATGTGGTTTAGACACTTTGCTAAAATTATTTGAAAGTAGGAACTAATTTCTAATTGTTAGTGTGTGTGTGTGTGAGAGATTATGGCAAAGCCTCAAGGGCTATCTGCCTAAGGGAAGGGATGCCTTAGTGGAGGACTTTCTAAGGACAACTGGCTCGTATACACGTTACACATGTGGAAAACCACGAAACGCCCATGCAGCCAGCCCATGCGCGGGATTCGAATCTCGGAGCGAACTACCAGTGTTCAGCGACTTTACCGCTCGGCCGCTGGTAGGCTTCTAATTGTTAGAAAAGATGCTTAAAGAGAAGGGAGACGATATAAATTACCCAAAATGACTGGGCAGGCTTCAAATTAAAAAGATGCATAAATATTTTGTTGAGTGTTGTTGCTACAAAACATAAATGTACCTTTAAATGCGTAATTATCCTAATATCGTTTAAGAATCAATGTCATAAATTACATGTATTTTAAACTGTGAAAATTTATTAGATTGTGATTTTAATAGCGCTTTTTAACAAATATTGTTAAAAGATAAATAAAATGTAATAATATATAGTAGCCATGTAAATCCATAATGACTAAAATTATCTAACTGTATAATTTAATTATTTATAACTAACTGCTTACGCCATATACATTACCAGCAAAATAACAAAAATTTTAAAAGAGCGTAGCAGTATACGTTTAGTTTTCCCGATGAAGTGTTAAGTGTTGGCATGCATTTTTCTGTTTTTTAGCCCAAAGGGGCAATTTTCCCAGAAGAGCTATTAATTTCGTTTTTGCATTTTGCTTTGATTCACTAAACAGCGTTTCACTTTTCAAATTGTTGCCATCAAATATGACAGCCCTGCATTATATTTAAAGAAATTAAATAATGATGAATCTGTATGGAATGTATGTATGTTTCTCGCACTGTGAAGAAACAATGGTACTTAGAGACATCAAATTTTGAATAACGTAGTACTCCACTTGAATATGGGCATCTGGAAGACCAAATTTTGAATTAAAAATTTGTTTTATTATCCATTTCAGGTTTTTTAAAACTTTAACGATTTTTTTTTTGAATTTGTTTTATTATCTATTTCAGATTTTTTTAACTTTAACGAATTTTTGATTAAGAAACTCAACGATTTCAAAGCGAGCAATGTCAACACTGTACAGAAAATTTTTTTTTTATTTCCAGCGCGCGGAAGTGTGTATCGGAAATTGTGAAGATATGATCTTTTTAAATTATTTTGTGATATTGCTGTAGGAATTGAATTTTATGATTTAAGTGCGAAGAACATGATATTTAATAAATAAAGTTAACACACAAAAGGTTAAAAAAAAAAGCTCCTTTGGGCATAATATAAAATGGGAAAGCTTTCAGATTTTTTTTTTTTTTTTTTTTTTTTTTTTTTTTAAGTCTTTTCTCAATTTATCATACCAATGTTCAATTTTCCTACAAAGATGGCTTTTTTTTTTCCTTTTTTTTTTCTGTTTATTATGTATCTGCCCCTATTTATAAAATACTGTCGTCAGTCTGTTTCGGTTAGAGGAGAATGTTTACAAGTAGAGCACGCGTATTAGGTAAACAGCGCTGAATCGTCTGTGAAAAACTTTTTTTTTTTGTTTGTTTAATTTCTTTTATACATCGTTTTAGATTTTGTATAGAATTTGAATAGAACATTTGGCAGCGATTAGATAATTCTTCAGCTGATATTATTATTATTTTTTTCATTCTGAGTTATACAATGAACGAGATGTAACGCTGTTAAGTGAACCTAGCGGCAGGGTATCGCTATGGTAAATAAATATAGGGAATTTTAAAAAGGCGTATATATTCTAGTGTGGTTTATGCGCTATCGACGAACTAGATTTAATTCAATTCAATAAGTTTAAATGAAATGCAGGAAAAAAGGCGTATAATTTAATATTTCTTACAAGGAAGTCATGTGGTGTACACATCAGACTATTTTTATTTCTGATACAAAATTTTAATTCCAAAATAAGTGCTATTTTACTTGTTTTTCTGGTACCAAAATCGTTGATGACATTGTAGAAACTTATTTCATCCCTTCAGCTGCTGCTATAAAGAGATGTATACCAATACCGACTCTACTTCCGACTTCAACAACCCAAACCTTTACTCATCGACTACTCTTCGATTATAGGAGATTCTGCATGCATTTTTATTTAAGAAATTTTCTTTCGTTATAAGTAACACAGAAAAATTCTCACAATATTTAGAATTTGTTTCGAAGACTCTATTTTACAATAAAATGCAAAAAGAGATATCTAGTTGGCTTTGCTCTAGAGCAGTCGAAACGCATGTCTTGCAATCTTTTATAGATGCTGATTCTCGTATTTACGAAGAAAGCAAGGAAAAAAACTTCAACTTCTAAGAACATGTTTGTAAAGTTCTGTTTTCTGTATTGTTGACTTCAGCTGCATTATAATAGTGTGCTTTGTTTGTGTAATATATTATATATTGTGTAGGATGTAAACTAAAACTTTATACTCATTTGACGTACTTCTAGATCAGTTGTGGTACGAAGTGATAGTTGTACAAATGGTTACTCCTATTCGCTTTAAATACAGAAGCAATTGGCAAACATTTATACAGCGTGCATTAATAATCATACTTAATATCGAAACCGGCGCATTGAAATTAATTTGTTGAATTGTTCAGATTATTTTTAAATCACATTAAGCTGAAAAGTTGTGTTAATACCATAAAGTGTAATTATAAATTCGTCAAAATAATAAGTTATTTTTGGCTTTAGTACATTTTAAAAAACATTCTTGTTATGTGAAATAAGATCATGTTCAACCTGAAGGGATAACCTGATACATCAAAGAAATTTCATAAAGCTATAGTGATGTTATAAATAAATTTAAAATATTAATTTTCAGAAGACATTGCAATGACTGTACGGATAAGCAGTTCTTACATGAATAGCAACGGTTGCAGAATACTTTGAACTGTAATGCAGACCACCAGCTCTCATATGAATAAAATACATTGAACTATAATAAAAATGCCTTTTGGTTTTTCAAGAACATAAAGACCTAACTATTAATAAATAGAAGATAAGAGTGTGGTTTAAAATTAGGCTGTGTTCACTTTGAGATTGATAGTGGTTTTACTACATTCCACAATTTTTTCTTCCTTTTTTTTTTTTTTGCATACTTAATTCCCCCCCCCTTTTTTTTGCATACTTCTGTCAATTTTTTTCAGTCATTATTCAGTGGCATGGCATTTTCGTATGAAATCAATTTTGAATCTTGCATCATTTTAAACTACCATTTACATTGACAGTATATTTATGTGTTTATTAAATTGTTAATATCTTCGTAAAATGTGAAGTTTGAAAAAAATTATCTGCTAAGGTAATTATATGCAGAAAAAGAGTTTAAAGTTATTAATAAATTAAATATCTCATCATTAAATATCTCATAATGAAAAGTTATGATAGTGATTTTCGTATATCTTATGATTGCACAGTTATTTGAATCTTCATATCCACATACTTGAAAGGATTCTTGTTATAGGTAACCAGGTGAAGTATCTTCTGCATCATAGATGTAGAATAAAACGTAACACTTGCATATATATATTTTCCTACTTATATTTTGTAATTGTGCTACTGGAATTTCCTTTCAAAAATTATAGATTATGAGAAAGTGAGTGACAGAGACTTAATTTGAGTCAGGTGAGCAAGTAATTTTTCATTCATAATTTTGCTAGTTAGAATTTTTTTTTTACCATTTAGTCAATGTGAATATATTAGGTAATTGATCAACCTCCCCTTTTGTTGCTGTTTGGGTGTTTTGTTAACTGTAAAGAAAAACTTATTAAATTAATTTGCTCCACGTTTCATTCTTCATTTGCAAGAAATATGTGGTTTGATATATGTTCCATTAATTTAAAACTTAAGAAATTTAGTTTTAAAGATGAATTATATTAAATTTTAAAGATTTATTTTAGGTAATTCAAGTTTGAATTTACTATTCAAATGATTTTTTATTAATGCTGTTATGAATTTTAATATTCTGCTTACAGTTATAATGTAAATGATTATAAAAGAAATGAGTTATTGACCAGCAGCCAGAATATAAAGTATCTATCATATCTCCATTATGCAAGGTTATATACTTGTAATCATTTGGTGATTTGCACTAGAGTTGAAAACTGTGTATAATAACTGGTTTAAAGCTACAGCAGTTGATATTTTGTTCTTTCTCTGCTTATAAGAAATACAACAGATTTCTTTGGTTTTGACAAGGCATCACAGCAAAATACAAGGTTGATGATACAGTGTTCAATACCTATCAAAAATGGGTCGAAATAGACAGTCTTTTTAATGCTAACTCAAATTTTAATTTTAAAATTTTTTATTAATAAACTCTACTATTAAGAAACTATTCTGTTTATTTGGGTAATTTTATTTTTGATTCTTTTTGAAATTGAGCAGTATGAACAAAGTCTAAGCTAGAACTAGAACTATGAATGTGGATTGCATATGTTTGTTTGGTTGATCTTTGGATTATGGTAACTTGGCGATTTTTTGGCGAAAATTTGGCGACCAACTCTGCTACAGCAACCCTCTATTTTTTTTTCGCCGCCATTTTTTCTTCACGAAGTAAAGACATGTTTCTTTCTTTTTATTTACTCAACACTTTTCCAACAATCTACTAGCTGAATTACACTTATGCTAGAAATTTTATGTAACAAAACTGCTTAATCATGAAAAATATTAACTGCAAAATTAGGAAAAAGTGCACAATCGCAAACTCCTTGCGCGTTTTTCAGAATAGCACATACACATAAACCATTTACACGTCGACTTATTTTTACTTAAAAAAAACATCCCAGAGTCGCATAAAAATGGCATTGCGCACACTCTTCACTATATCCCTGTACACTGCTTTTTTCTCATAAATTAGAAAAATTTCACGAAAATGCATGAAAATACTCGATGTATACTACTCAAACGTATTCCAAAATACTACAAACATATAACTCACAAAATCACAATCATTAAATTAAAATATAATTAAATTAAAAACACTACATAAAATATAAATAAGCACATACATTAAATTAATAAAAATTAGATTACAATCCTAATTACTTTAAACTAAATCATTGCTAATAACAATTTTCCAATAATACCATATTAATTTATTTACTCCTTACATTTAGAACAATGCATAAAAATAATATCCTCAAATGATTAAAAATACTAACTTACCTAATCTTCTTCAGAATCTTCATTACGTGGCATGCACACTTCCCTACAGAAAGAGTTCCAATCAGCTGCAGTACTACTGCTAATTTCTAAATCTGAAATCGAGTAGTCAACTGCCAGTCTATTCACCCAGTAATAAGAAATTAATAAAATTTCACCCATATTCAAACTACTTTCAACAAACCACGTACCGTTCCTTGCACTCCGTTTCACAAAATGTCCATTTTCACCAGATTTCTTGCACCGCCATTCAAACTTATCTGTAATATCCTTCCTTTCACACAATCTCATTTCATTTCCACATTTTGGACATTCATACTTATCCGCAATTAAACCTACACTCATACACCATTCAACCAATTCTTTTGAATTATCAGATAAACGCATTAAAAATTTAGAATTCACTTTAAATAGCGCCATGCAATCAAAAAATTAATGAACACTATTTCACACAACACACAATGAAGCTTAATACAAAATAATATAGTACTACAGATATTTTTCCAAATTTACCCCCTTTTCCGATTAAAGAACTGTAATTCGTCCATTAATGTCACATGACATATCTCATGATCTCTCATTTCCCTCACACAAAATAATGCGTAATCGGAACTGAGTACTTCTGACATTAATACCAAAGTCCTAGGTAGTAACCTTTATTGCCTCCAAAATGTCGCCAAACTACCTGTTACCATATTCCAAAGATTAGCCGTTTGTTTTCCAGACACTTAACATTTGCAGAGTTTTCAATCACATTTTCAAAGATTATTATTTTGAATACTTTTGTGAAATTGAAAAAAAAAAAATTGCTCCATCCTGAAATCAGGATATTGATGACTAATCTGTGTTTATATCTAAACAGTGCATTAAGCTGAAGTGAGTGAAATAGCTGTAACTATCCAAACATACTATATTAGTATTTAAAGCAATCCCTATACTGAAAAGTATCATGTAAAGAATGAATGAATAGGTTGTTCCATCTTTTTGCCATTCTAAAACTGGCTTATATAGGGCAATTTCTATGATTTTATTTCTTGCATTATATCAAGAATTTATCAGTTTTTACAACATTTTTACATTACATAAAGTTTTTTATTATCTACTGCAACAATAAAGTTGTTTGTAGTCTGTCAGAATTATTAAAATAGGTAATTGGCTGTTGGGCATTTAAGAATCAGTGTTATTTTTTTATGTATGATCCAATTATTTCATAAAATATTGCTTATTTTGAATGGCAGCCTTACACATTATGCTACCTTATACAGAAAATGCAACACCATGAAGGAGTGTGAAGAATATGATGAAAGTTGACACATAGCTAGAGAATCTATTCCTAAATAAGTGATTTAAGTGATGACTAATTCAAAGAATATGAAGTACCAGAGTAATTGAATATGCAGGGAAATAAAGGAAGCAGAATTGCCTTTTTTGAGCAATGCAACCAGTAACTATTCATGATACAGATTCTGTCAGCATTTGGATAATGTCTTAAGATATTCTAAATAAAAGTGAGAGAGTTTTTTATCTACATTACAGCTCCAAGTCTTAACTAATATTTGCTTAGACATGAGGCAGCCTGAGTACATCATGCAACTCCTAAAGCAATTTAATGCGACCCACAAATGCATTTCAGTTATGTATTTGTTTTAATGCAGTACATATAGATTTTGTTATAGGATAAATTTGTATTTGCACTATTGTATTTATTAAGAAACTAGGAAAGCACTGGCAAACATTTCAGCTGTCATTACATTCTAATTGAGTTTGAAGCTAGGGCTGGCAAACAGTCAGAAGTACGTATGCAATATATAGCAGTGCTCTTACAGCAAAAGATGCTAAGGGAATAAAAGGACATTAATTATTGCATTTCAGGAACATTAGAGAAATATGAATTGTGTTCATTTGCATGATTGCTACTGAATGAAAAGAAATAGAATGAATAGATGTGTGATGTCTTTAAAATGAAAAAATTATGGACTTTGTATGCTTCCATGCCAGGCCACATGACTGGGCCAAGTTAGGAGGTGCAATCAATAAATTTATTCACCAGTTGACAGTTGGTAGAACTTTTACTACACAATCCCCACAGTACACTCGAGGGGTGACATTGATAGTTTGATCAAGACATTCACTGATGATATCACTAATGCCTACTCTACAGCACGAAAGCTTGTGCCGACTGGGCACATTCACAGAAGCAACGAACTCAAGCTTCTCATCAGACAACGCAATGTTGCTAGACGTCAGTTCCAGAGGTCCCGCAACCGCGAGGACAAACAGAGATTTAACAGACTCTGGTCGGTCAGATCTCTTCTCAATGCACAAGCACAACTCAGCTGGGCCAGGTACCTTCAGAACCTCTCCACAGACGATAACTCGCTGTGGAGAGCCATCAAGAGGTATACGAAATGAAACAACATTCCACCCCTTAAAGGGCCTCAAGGGATCCATTACACCGAAATTGAGAAAGCAGAACTCTTAGCGCAGCATCTGGAATCTCAATTTTGCACTAACAACATTCATGACCCCACCACTGAAAGCACTGTTCAATATTTTCATTCCACTTTTCTCTACAAACCCACGCACGGACAACATCATTCCAACCTTGCCTTCAGAAGTCCTAGCTATTATCAAGAAATCTCAAAACTGTTGGTGATATCATCCAGAAAGAAAAGCCCTGGCTTGGATAATGTCACCAACATCATGTTAAAGAAGCTGCCAGTCAAAGTTATCTTCATCCTAACCAAACTCTGCAACACCATTCTGGAATGGCAGCACTTTCTTGCATACTGGAAAAAAGCTAAAATTGTACCCATACTAAAAGCCTGGGAAGCCACCTAACAAACCAGAGTCATATAGGCCAATTAGCTTGCTGTCTTCCATCAGCAAAGTATTTGAAGCTGTCTTACTCAAGAGGATCAACTCCCACCTGGAAGACAATAACATCCTGATACCACACCAGTTTGGATTCAGAAAGCAACTTTCTACAACGAATCAGCTCTACAGGGTTGTTGAGACCATTGCCGAGGGAATGACTACCAAAAAAGTTACTGGTGGATTATTTCTTGATATAGCAAAGGCTTTTGATAGAGTCTGGTTGGATGCACTCACTTACAAGTTACACGTTCTGGGTTTCCCAGAATACATCATTAACTTTCAGGTAGACACTTTGTCGTTCACGTAGCAGGCACAAACTCAACTTTCCACCCGATCCTCGCTGGGGTCCCTCAGGGGTCCCTGCTTGGACCTACATATTTCAATATCTATGTGAACAACATTCCCACCACACACGACATAACATTAGCTATGTATGCAGATGACACTGCGATCCTGGCACAAAGTGCATTTATTGGTCCAGTAATTCAATGGTTACAAAACTACATTCACGCACTAGAGATCTGGCTCGCCCAGTGGAAGATTGTAGTCAACGTGGACAAAAACCAAGGCTATCCTGTTCACAA